GCGAGCGCAAATAGCATCAGCGATTGGACGTTGAATGGAGTGCGTTCAAGCGTGGGTGAAGCAACTGCCTTGAGAGCTGCTTCATGATAAGGCTCCGATGGCACCCAGGGCGCGTAGAATGAGCCGATCCATTGCAAGACGAGCAGCAAGACTGGCATGCCATGATTCTCTTTCAGACGCCTGGTTTGTAGATAAGAGTATGGCAAAACGATGGGAAAAGAAGGCCAGAAGTTTTCGAAAAACAGTTCTAGAAGGCGATCGTTGTCGATGTGGAATGTCACATGATTTTGCTGAAGAAGATGTGATGCGGCGAGCGAGATCGTCTCATCTGTTGTGTTGTCTGAAAAGAGATTCGACGATGACTGTGCGCAGATTGAGTCTGTCGGTAGATGCTGCTCGGAATTCTCACTGCTTTGAGCAGTGGGTGTGTTGCGCGGTGTGCTTTCGGCTTCTCGCTGCAATCGTAACCGTCGTGCTGCGAGGGCTGCTTTATCTAGCCCTCCTCTTCGTGACTTTTGGTAAACGCATTCTTTCCCATCGTGCTTGCATCTTTTGCATACAGGCTGCTCGGCATCGCACTTGACGTGTCTGCTGCGGCATTGAACACATGCCAATACAACCCGCTCAATACGCTTTTCGGTCGATGGTTGATCCATCAAAGATCAATGGCGTGACGGAGTAAATGGGGGTATTACTTGGCTGGAGGCGCGGAGGCTGACGTGTTATGCAGTGCAGGGGGATGTTTCTTGGGTGTTCATATGCTTTGCCCAAGTGCTGTTATTGCCAAGTGAAAGGTCGTTGTAAGGCTAACCTGAGTGTCAGATGTGGTCATGGTTGCCTTGTCGGTAACTGTCGGGATAACCGTCGGGGCCGCATTTTCCCAAGCAATCTCGCATTTATGCAAAAGTAGCGACATGCAATACGTTGAACAAGTGATGAGATGCTTACGCTGAACACAATTCATCTTGTAGAAAGCGCGTAATGGCGTCATTAATTTTTTGCCGTTGCCCGGCCTCTTCTACCCTAACCTTACAATAGAAAACCACACTAATACATTTGTACAAAAAAGAAACTGCAGTGGAAGCCAGCCTTCGACATACGATGGGCCAACACAACATCCAAACGGGGTCTCAGAGCATAAAGCATGTCATCGTATGCGTTCCCAGACCTGACGGATCTGCATCCGTGCCAGCTGGAGGTCGCCGCTTTTCCATCGTATATCTATGATTTGAGATGAACTCGTTCGCATGTGCGAGTCCGGAGGTACAGGTCGCGGATCTATCGCAATTTGCCCTGTTCCTGGGCTTCTTTGACCTGCTCGAAAACCTGTAATCTTGTGTTAGTTTCAAGGACTTATGGAACGAATCGAGTCTTTCATACCTTCAACATCTTCCTACGCGCGCCAAGAGCGTTAACTCCGCGCTTCTCCAAACCTTCGTCGTCAAGCTCGATGAGCTCCTGCCACTTGAGGTCCTTGAGGTTATCAGTGTACTTGTGCAATCGGAGACTGCGGAGCCAGTTGGGAATATCCGAGAGCAGACCAGGGTCGGTAGGATCTTCCGGAGGCTTGGAGCTGCCGCGGCGACCTCGGGGAGATCGACCACGGTCAATGTTGTCACCAAGGAAGCCGTGACCATCATTGTTGCCTCCGCTACCCAATCCAAACTGAGCAAGGTTAAGGGCACCCATTCCGTTGTTCATCATTCCACCTCCATATTCAGCAGCTAGGAAACCGTTGGCCTGGGGAGAAGTGAAGCTACCCATGGCTCCCATACCCATACCCTGGCCCTGCATTGCAAAACCGGGGGAGCTGGGCCGAGATCGGCGGCCGTTCATGGCAGCCAGCTGTTGGGCCTGCAGAGCAGCCGCTTGTTGGGGAGTCAAGACCTGGCCCATCTCGTTTGTCATGAGAATGTTTCCATTGCCCATTTGAGGCATACCAGGCGACATGGGACCGTTGTCTGATGAGCGAGCGCGACGGAACTTGCGCACATCATCCAACTGAATACGGTTGTTAACAGTAGAGAGTGCAGCAAGCTTCATAGCCGTGGCATTGGCAACCATATCAGCCTGGTTGTTGGACTGGCTAAAATTGGCGACCATGGGGGTGCTCAACTGCGATGCCCAGCTGCCACCTGGCTGGTAAGAAGGCGAAAGGAGTGGCATGTTGGAGTTTGCTTCGAGAGCGTTCAGAGTAGTAGTCTGCACATTATTGGCATCGTTCTGGAGGGGAAGACGAGGAGATCGAAGACCGGCGGATGGAGGAGGCTGCGAAAACTGGCCCATGGGCTGTTGCTGCTGTTGCTGCTGCTGGCCAGAGGACTTTGGACGGTTCGTGCCTTCGTTCCAGGGAGATGCCGGCGGAGCATTGTTTTCCCTCTTGTTGTCCTCGGGGGCAGAGATGGTGGGAGCTGCCATTGAGCTGCGGTCGCCGACAGTGCTGTTGCGGTTTGACGCCGGTGCGACGCCTACAACATCAGTGAATTCAGCTTTCTGCTTAGCAATAGCTGCGGCCGCATCTGGGAACATGCGGTTGATGGTGGAGGTTTCCAGGCCCGAGTTGCGTTTTCCAGCACCCGGGGATGGCGGGGGGCGACCGAGGCCCATGGAATGGCGGTTTTCGCCCGTGTTAAGCTTGCTCATAGCATCGCTCAGTTTCTGCGTCATTGGATCTAGCACATGTTAGCATGGGAAAGCATTGGGAAAAAAACAGAATTAGAAATTCTTACCCTTTTCTCCAAAGTTAGCAGGCGAGAGTACTCCAGACATGGGCACGTTCTTGGACATTTGCTGCAGAACCTGGATAAAGAACCTAATCTGAACCTGGGTTGTCTGCTGCAGGAGAGCGTAGAGGGCAGCGGTCCTCTCGGCCTCGCTAAGAACGCGAAACCACTGCTCGATGGCGCTCAACTCGTCCTTGAAGTCCTGATCGAGGGTGGCTGTCGCCATCTCCTCGAGCGTGGTCTCATACTGGTCAATGTCGGCGAGCCACTGCTGGGCAGCACGCTCCATCTCGTCTGGGTTGCCAGACTGAGTGTTGTTGCGGCCAAAGTAGATCTCGGAGGCGGGGCGAATGCCGCGGTTGGCCAAAGGCGAGGGGAAGCCGCCCAAATCAGCTGAGGCGCGGAGATGATGGTTTGCACCGAGCGAAGAGCGGGCCTGAGGCGGGCGGAGGGAGGAGGAGCCCTCGGGGGTGCTGTTCCTGTTGGCGGCGATGTGGCTGGCCGACATGATGGCGGTAGTGGCTGACCGTGGCGGGCAGTTGGTGGGTTGAAATTCTGGGCTGACAGTGAGCAAGGCGAATACGAGAGGGTGCGGGCAGTCGAGATGGGACGTACAGTGTCGACGGATGGAATTCAGCGTCAGTCGGTCGAAGTAATGGATGCACACGAGTGTCTCCTGCAGTCCCAGCTGTGCCTCAAAGGAGAGCTCGAGGTGCGAAGTGTCAGGGGAGAGACAGGATCGCGGAAGGGCTGATAGGCGCAGGCGAAGGCGTGGGGAGCGCTGTGCAAGAGGGGACGGGCAAGCAGCGCTATAAGAAGAGAGCGGGTAATATATCCAGCAACAAAGAAGGGAAAAGGTCGGCGATAAGGAGGCAGACCAGCGGAAGAAGGTCACTGCCAGAGGTAAAGAAGGGGACAGTGAACTCTTGTCAGGACTCCAAAAGGCGTTGGTTCGTTAGCGTGCAGCCAATCACGGCACCCTGCGCAAGACTGAAGCAACGGCACGACTGGCCCAGCGCTAGTCCTCAGCTGTTACAGATGATGCGAATGCCTGGTGGAGCCAGGTGGTCTTTGGGGCCTTCCACGGCCATGCCCCAAAAGCTTGTCCGCCTCTCTTTGCCTGCTCGGGCGCCCTGAGGCGAGGGTGCGTGTGCGTGTGCGTGCGAATCCCCGTGTCTGTGTGTGTGTTGTGTATGTACCTAGTAACCCAAGTACTGTACGTACACATACCACGCCTCCGCATCCCCCGGCACGCCACCCAACCAACCAACCAACCAACACTCATCATCAGCCACGGTACCATACCATCGTCGTTTCGAGTACCGGCCAAACGCAATTGCCATGCTGTGCTTATGTAGTCAGTATGTAGGTGCCTCATCAGAGATACCACGGCTGGTTCCGCTGTCAGTTTCCGCCCGGCATGCCATGTCTGTGTGCTCCTGCGAGGCATAAAATAAAAATAAAAAAAAGGGCACGATTCGCAAGCCTTCTGTAACAGGGTGCTGGGCCCTTGCCGCGCCTCCTCCCCATTGGCAACGCCTGCGCGGGGGGGACCCATCAAACGCTCCAGCAAACAAAAGGAAATGCTCCGGACTGGCTGTTCATGCGCCGCCTGCAAATAAATGCCTAGCCAGTATCATGGCTCGAGGGGCCGACTTCCTTCGGCGCCCCCAATAACTACAAAACCTGGCCCTTCCGACGACAACGACGTCGTATTTTGTTATTGCAGGAGCACTCGCCTAGGTTGTAGACCCGACACGGCTTACCTTACCCGCTGCTTGCCTGTTCCGGGAGTCCCGGCAAATAACTACCACCCACCCAGCACTCGGCCAGACCACGTGCATGATTCGAGTCGTGCCAAAAGAAGCGTCGACTCGTGCAAAAATCGATAAATCCTTATATTGACATCAATGGCTTTCCTCGACGCATAGACCCTTCAGCGCAGCCACGGCTTGGCATTCATCCCAGCCACTCCTAGCTGTGTCTACTACATATTCCCCGTCTATGGAGGCAGACTGTCGTGTCAAGGCCACGCTTCCAAGTACGTTGACATCTTGCTCATCAATTCATTTCCCAGCCCGTTCGCAAGGGACATGCTCTTGCGCTTGTGCGCGTCAGCGGTCAGGGCTTAGAGTTTGGAGTTTATATGAAGCCCGAGTCGTCAGCATCGGCCTTGGCTTTGGCCCTTCACGACAATGTAGCGTAGGTGGCAGGACCCAAGCAAGTCGAGGGAATTTGGGCATCTCATTGATTTCTCTCGTCTTGTAGCCAATTCTCTTATGACGCTGCTGCCTGCGATTGCTGCGCCGCCGTCTGGATCTGGATAATCTAGTCGGCAAGTCAGCTTGCCTACCCTCGAAATCAGCATCGAACAAACGCACCTCGCCCTTGATCTTCTCGCTGTTTTCCTGTATGCCCTGGATTTGCTTCTCAATGTCCTTGCTGCTACTTGTTAATGTCGTACCTCTCCGTCAATAGCGATTCGGACTGACATCTGCTTGTCAATGAACTCCAGACGTCCATTCACTGCCATGACCGCCTCTGTCTTATCCTGCTTCAACAGCACCGGGCCGATTTGCTTGTAGATATTGGCATCGTCGTCGAGTATGTCGAATTCCTGCAGTGTAGCGTCTCAGCGTATGTCGGACATGCGTGCATCTTGATCGGCTACCTTCTTGACGGTGCTGTTCTCCTGTTGTTGCGACTCCAGTTTTTGGCGTGCCTCAACTTTGGTTCCGAGATCTATTCCGACGTTAGCACTCACTCTACTTCGGCTGGCAACAACTGCTTACCTGCTTGGAGGCTTTGGTACTTTTCGGAAAGTTCCTGCAGCTTCCTTTGTACTTCTGCCATGGTGTTTGTGATGCTGAGTAAGGCTTGACTGAGAGTTTGGTCGTATGCTCGCAGGTCGCGGGTGGGAGAATAAACTTTCCCAAAGCGGTTAGAAGCAACGCGGGGCGGGCTAGGTGCCTTGGCTATGGCCATAGGCCATGGCAACTTGACGGTCTCCTTCACGCCCGCTGCCTGCGACAACAAACCTACCTCAAGCAATCCTTCGCCAAACTTACTCTCTCGAGTGCCGCAAATAGTCTCGGGACCTCATACTATCCGCCGTGTGCGCCCAAATATACCGTCTTCAACGGCTCGTGCGTGCCCCGCCTATCTGCTCTCATCTGTACACAAACGCGCCCACCCACAACAACGTCCTTGAGCACGGTTCACGCCCACGGTATAAGCCATGAGCAATGCGGATTTCCTCGGTCGGGCCATCGAAACGGTCAAGAAGGCCATTGAGACTGATACAGCAGGCGAATATGAAAAGGCCTATCAGCTATACTACAGCGCCTGTTAGTGACATAGAACGCAGCCTGAGGCTTTCGCATACTGATGAGTACCAGTGGAGCTCTTTATGCTCGCTTTGAAATGGGAGAAGAACCAGAAATCCAAGGAAATGATTCGTGGCAAGGTCGCCGAATACATGGAGCGCGCCGAAAAGCTTAAGCAACACTTGAATCAAAACGACGCCTCGAATCGCAAGAAACCAGCAGCGATGGGTTCAAATGGCAAGGCAGCAGGCGGGAGTGGCAAGGGTGGAGGGTATTTACAACCGCAAACACAAGACTAAAGTATCGTTTTGCTAACATGTGACAGTGATGACGACGAAGGCGAACAGGACGCCGATTCCAAGAAGCTCCGCGGTGCGCTTGCGGGCGCTATCCTCTCCGAGAAACCTAACATTCGGTGGGAGGACGTAGCTGGTCTCGAAGCGGCAAAAGAGGCGCTCAAGGAGGCTGTCATATTACCCATCAAGTTTCCACATCTATTCACCGGAAAGAGACAACCATGGAAAGGCATATTGCTGTATGGACCACCCGGTACTGGTAAAAGTTATCTGGCAAAAGCTGTTGCGACCGAAGCGAACAGTACCTTTTTCAGTGTATCCAGTTCGGATCTTGTGAGCAAGTGGATGGGTGAATCAGAACGGCAAGTCACAATAACGCTCATTATGCAAGGCGCATGACTAACATATCTTCAGCCTCGTCAAGCAACTTTTCGGCATGGCACGCGAGAACAAGCCTTCAATTATCTTCATAGACGAAATCGATGCTCTCTGTGGCCCCCGTGGAGAAGGCGAATCAGAGGCATCCAGACGTATCAAGACCGAGTTGTTGGTACAGATGGACGGTGTAGGCAAAGACTCGAAAGGCGTACTTATTCTTGGAGCAACAAACATCCCATGGCAGCTCGATTCGGCTATCCGACGACGATTCCAACGACGAGTACACATTAGCTTACCAGATCTTCCCGCGCGCATGAAGATGTTTGAACTTGCGGTCGGAAACACACCCTGCGAACTGAACCAGGCAGACTACAGGAAGCTGGCAGAGCTTAGCGAGGGATATTCTGGTTCCGATATTTCCATTGCAGTGCAGGACGCACTCATGCAGCCTGTACGTCTGATTCAGACGGCAACACACTACAAGCCTGTCGAAGTCGATGGCCAAACGAAATGGACGCCTTGTTCTCCTGGCGACCCACAAGCACACGAGAAATCATGGACAGATCTCGATGGCGACCAGCTGCTCGAGCCACCTCTAAAGGTCAAGGACTTCATCAAGGCCATCAAGGCTTCAAGACCGACAGTTAGTGGTGAGGATCTGCAGCGCAGTGCTGAATGGACCAAGGAGTTTGGAAGTGAAGGCGCTTAATGCAACGTTTTTTTATGGGATCAAGGGTGGTGCTGTATACCTTGGAGGCGCTTTTGGTGTTCATGTCCCTTTTTAGCATAGCGATTTCAATGTGTCAAATCAATGGATACGATACCAACGTCAAAGCGCTTGTACACTTCTTAGATGAGCATGGCCCAATTGAGCATTTGTTGTAAGAATTTGAGATTAGACAATTTCGAGGTGAGATCCGAGCTTGGTAGAAGTCGGAGTATTGAGGTCAAGCGATTGGCTACTTGGTTAGCATGGTGATGCTGGGTAGTTGGACGTGATACCAGCACGCTAAGATAAGCATCCCTGTCGCAGCTCTCTCACCAGCAAGCCATTCATTCCATTGCGCCCGGCACGGGACTCGTCTTAAGCTGCCGCCATGTCCAAAGACGACGCCGAACCCTCATACATTGACTATGAAGCCTTTCTCGACCCAGACTTCTCGGCAACGTCCTTTGCCAACACACTCGTCCTCTCGACCAACAACCCCTCCGACACCCCGCTAGACCTGTCAACACCGCTGTCGCGCGTTCTTTTCGATGTCCAGGAAGTCGACACGCACATTGACACGCTTACGACCAAATCGGCATTGCCGTTGCTGGAACATACACGCGAACATGCAGACTCGAGTGCACGCATCCTGCACGAGGTGGAAGGCCAGGTCGCCAGTCTGACCGAGTCGTACCGCACGCTCGAAAAAGAAGTCATTGAGCGGCACGAAGTCGCCGCCCAGGTCCAACTCACCGCCGAACGCCTATGCGAGACGGTCAAGCTGGGGCGCTCAGTAGCCCGCTGTCTGATGCTCGGCCGCCAACTCGAAGTCCGCATGGCAGAGCTGGGCGGCGTAGGCAGTGCGAAGAAGGAAGACCACCGCGCCATGGTGCGCTCAACCGACACCATTCTCTCGCTCCGCCAAATCCTCTCTGCTTCGAGGCCTGGTGAAGAAGGCGAAGGCCTCGACCGCATCAACGCAATCAACACTCTAAAAGCCGAACTCGTAAACCCAGGCGAACGCAGCATCGCCTCGCGCGCCTCCCAAGTAATCAAGGAATTCTCAATGTCCTCCTTACTCTCCTCCTCTGCCGCCGCATCCTCTGCATCCACCTTTTCCCAAAACGAAGACACAAAAGCTCGCACCACGTCCGCTTTGCAAACACTCTATCTCTTATCCCCTTTACCACCATCATCATCTTCTTCCACCAAACCCTTCGAGCCAAGTCTCATGCTCTCCGCACTCCAAGAACACGTCCAAACCCAACTCAAATCCTCGCTCGCCTCGCTCGCCCGCGCTCTAGCTCAACTCCCATCTCTCGACCGCGCCCTGCTCGAAATATCAGCCAGATGTCAAAATATAGTTGCCCTACAGTCCCTTTTGGAGTCTATAAAAACACCAGAGCATCCCCTCCTACCTGCGTCACTTCAGCAGCAGCAGCAACAACAAACAAATCTATTACAACCCTTACTCCAAGCCCTAGATACATCGTCCCTTCCTAGCTATTTCTGGCGCACACTTGCGTCAAATATGGCGCCCAGAGTGCAGGATCTGATGAATAGAGGCGGAGTGTCTGCGCGGACGCTCAAGAGTAACAAGGAGAAGGTGAGGGACTTGGTGAGGGAGTGTGTGAATCGGGGGAGTCAGTTTCCTGGCAATAGTAATTTGCCAAAGGGTGCTGGTATTAGTAGTAATGCGATGGTGACGTGGGAGAGAGAAGCTGCTGTCATGGTGAGTAGTATTGTTGGGCAGATCAAATAAGAGGGAGTTATAGAAGTCACGGCGATAAAAAAAAACAGTACCATCATAGAATTGGGGGAAGAGAGATTTGCATTGGAAAAGATGTAGAGACTAGCTTTGAGCTCATCTAGATACCATGTCAGGCAATCAATTGTTGCTTGATCGCTCTCAATAGTAGCCATACCATGACGCCAGTCGCCATGTTCGTAATCCTATCTTTTCCAGCCGGGTCCCCAAAAAGGCTTTTCTTTAATTTTACTATTATTTATCATGTAGAGACGGGGTTTTGTTGTTTTTTCCTTCTACGGGGAAGAGTCTTTCAACATCCACGCTGTAGTTGTGTTCGTGGAAAGCATACGTTGATTTGTGCAAGTATGTCCATAATCCGACATACTGACCACCAACGCAATTTGGAGACAATTCCCAGACTAGTCAGGTCCTCCCGCTGGCAATGCCAACAAAGAAGATGACCAACTTTGAAATGAGCCAATTCGTAGCGCTCGTTAGGTGCAGTTCCTAGAGGATGGAGAGAAACTGCGGAATTTCCATGACAAATGACATGCATGTCAACATGTAACGTATTGAGTCGGATGGAGTGTAGAGGTGTGGTTCAGCCTCGGACAAAGAGTATGTGTCCAGGGCCGATGATGTTAAAAGATATGGTGAGAGAAGGGTCTTGTAGCAAAAGGTGGGCTACAGATATCCTGTAGGCATCGAAAATAGGGCAGGGTCGAACAAAAGGCGATCGTACTAACTGTAATCCTGAATAAAGAAAGGATCCGAGCTTTTGGAAAGACTATACCAACCGCCGATGGTGCTGAGTAGAGAATGGAAATGAGGACGAAGGGGAAACTAGATGATGCAGTGTACGAAAACCGTTGAGATGTACCGTCGACAAGGCGGAGACAAAAGCGTCTCAAGAAAGTAAGTCGGCAAGACCAGCCGACCGACAAAAAGCAGAAAACAGTTACGACCCAGGCAACCCTTGATATAGTACATAGAAGATGGTCCAGATCGTTAAAACCGTATTGCGCCAATGATCCGATTCGTGGTACCTGGGAAAGAAAAGTCCAGGTGTCCCGTATCGTGTCGTCAGCGGCTGCTTGCATAATTGCATACAAATGAAAAACGCCAGGATATGTATGTGCAAATGACACCGCCAAGTGCTGTTGCGGCCCCCGAGCAGGAAGAAGTTGCGACATGGGAAAATGTACCAGTTGTTGAAACCAAAAGACTACTCAGATGGCCAAGTCCCGCCAGAAGCGGCAGCCGGCCTTACGAGGCCTGTGGTGGGTTTGCGGGCTGCGGCCTAGGATTCCGCTGAGTGTTCTGGCCATTCTGTTGACGGTTTTGCTGGTTCTGCGGGGGTCCTCGGCGTTGTCCCTGGAACCCACCACCGCCGCCGCGTCCACCGCGGAAGCCGCCACGGGCATTGGGGTTTCCGCGCGCGGCGCCTTCCTGCTCTTGCTGCTGAATCTGGGCAGGAGCACGTGGTTGGTTGGACATGGGGCGGGGGATCGACTCGGGCGACTCATAAACGTAGAGGTTCTTCTCAATGACCTGGGGAATGGGCTGAATCTCGGTACCAAGCTCTTGTTCGATCCTATACAGGTTGAAACGGTCTTCCCAGTTGATCAGGTTAATAGCCAGACCCAGGTGTCCAAAACGACCGGAACGACCAATACGATGCAGATATGTCTCTGCGTTCTTGGGAAAGTCAAAGTTGATTACAACGTTGACTGCCTGAATATCGATACCACGGGTGAGCAAGTCGGAGCAGACAAGGTTTCGGCATACACCATTACGGAAGTCGTGGAAAACGCGGTTACGGTTGTGCTGGAGCATGCGAGCATGTGAGTAGAAACACGAGTAGCCGAGTTCGGTAATCTTCTTAGCGAGGAGCTCCACTCGGTTCGTGGAGTTACAGAAGATGATGGACTGGTTGATCTGGAGCTTGTTGAAGAGGGTGTTCAAGCAGTGGACTTTCTGCTTCTCTTCAACGAAAGCGTAGTACTGCGTAATACCGCGAAGTGTGAGTTCGTCCATCAGGTTAATCTCGTATGGGGAATTCATGTGCTTGTCCTGGTCTGTGTCAGTAGAGTAGTCATGGCTGGAGTGTCATGAAACGTACCTTGAAGCTCTTGACAACAATGGGGAACGTGGCACTGAAAAGCATGACCTGTCTGTCCTTGGGGTGGAAGCCAAGCAGCTGCTCCACAACCGGGGTGAACTCAGGGGAAAGAAGCTTGTCGGCCTCATCCATGACAAAGGTCTGGCAAGCTGAAAGGTCTGCTACGCCCTTGCCAGCCAAATCCAGAATCCTACCTGGTGTTCCAACAATGATGTGGACAGGGTCGTTTAATCGTATGATGTCGTCTTTGAGGCCCGTACCACCGGTTGAGACCATGACATTGATTCCAAGGTGTTTTCCCAGCTGCTTGCATACCTGTGAGGTTTGTAGGGCGAGTTCTCGGGTGGGTACGAGGATGAGGGCTTGTGTCTTTGGGCTCTTGGGGTTTACGCGCTCGAGGGTGGGGATGACAAAGGCGGCAGTCTTTCCGGTACCGTTCTTCGCTCGTGCAAGGATGTCTCGGCCGGTAAGTGCTACAGGGATGGTCTCTTCTTGAATGGGCGACGGCTTCTCGAAGCCAGCCTCGAAGATGCCCATCATCAGCTCGCGCTTGATAAAGAAGTCCTCGAATTCAAGTCCCTTGGTAGCAGTAACATCCTACGCGCGTGTTAGCATGTTTCCCCCCGCACTGCATGTGCAAGCACACCGTACCTCTGTTTGCGGTCGCGCATCCTTTACGGGCGCGTTCAGTCCCGCCTTCCAATTGGCCTCTCCTGACGGTGTGGCATCGCTAGACGTGTCAGCGCGTGTGCTTGTAACCTCTCACTCACTCTCGGCCGACTCACCTCAGCTGCGTTGCCGCTAGTTGGTTCGTGATTTCTGAAGTCATTGTGTATGTGTAGAGTCCACCAGAGGGTGGGGTCGCTGATCAAGACGTCAAGGTTCGCAAGTTATGAATGAAGCACGGGCTGAAGTGGGGGGGGGCTTTCAAGTGGAAGCTCGTATCGTGTATGCCGACGAGAGTGGGGGCCGGCAAGCTAGAGGAGTGATCAAGTCTCGTGACTGATAGAGCCGCGAATTCAGATGTTTGGTGGTGCGTTTGCTGCGTCGAGGAAGCCGAATGAACCTCGAGATAGATAGTCGCAGTGGTGGTGTTTCGCCTGTACGTGGTGCGAATGGCGATGTGTATGTGTAAGTGCAGGTTCGCGCGAGTAGTGCTGCGAGTAGTCGGAGGCAATGAGAGCCTTTGGAGGTTGAGCGCAAGAGCGGGCGTGCAATTTTGGGTGGGCGAGGGGTGGTTTGTGTGGTGGTGGTGTAGCTGAGCGGGCCGCTTTATGCAAGAAGGAACTTGAAGATGGGGGAGGGCAACGGTCCGTGCGTGCTTGTCATTGGGCTTTCTGACGTCGCTGCCTTGACTGTGACAAGCTTTGTGAGTAAAGTCAGTATTTCACTTGCATTTCAATTCACTCTTTACAGCTCGTCTGTCTAGGCTGCCTCATTCAGCGTCGCCTCGTGTACAACAGTAGCATTGGGACAGACTCACCGGTTTCCTGCGCAACGCCGCATCTGGATTAGACCAATATTACATTTCCTCTGGTATACTAAAACGCACGTGAGTTAGGTATCTGTGAATTTGTTCGATGAAGCATAGTCTAATATGTACAACAGAGATTACAATAGAAATCGTATCGTTTCTATAAGACTGCACTTACCTGGGAGAGCACCAACCCAAAAGATTTGGACTTTGCCATCTGGAACACTTTTCTGATCGGACTACTATACCGACACCCCCAAACACCTCATACCCCCTAAACTCCACCATGTCTTCTCTCCTCCGCCTCTCCAGCGCCCTCCGCAGTCTCCGAACCCCCACCACCAAACCCCCCACCTTCTTCTCCCCCTCCCGTCCACCCCCCTCTCTCAGCCTCCCCCGTTCCCGACACTACTCCTACCGCAACCCGACCTCCTCCCAAGTAAGCGCCAACAACAAAGTCCTCTACGGCCTCATGGGCACCAACATCGCCGTCTTCAGCTACGCCATGTACCTGCAACAGCAAGCCGCACAGGGCTTCCCGGGCCCCTGGCACCGCTTCCTCCGCACCTTCACCCTCAACTTCTCCGAATTCAAAAACGGAAATTACACCCCTGTTCTCCTGGCAAATTTCACCCACATACATGTTTGGCACCTCTTCTCCAATATGTTGAGTTTTTATTTTCTGGGACAGTTCCTGGCGTCGGCGGCTCCGCTCATTACGCCAGCGAGGTTTTTGACCATAGCGTTAGGATCGGGACTTTCGGGGAGCCTCGGGTATCTGCTCTCGCGGTATTATAAGATGAGGGATCTGAGCCCCCGCGCGCGTGATACTGTGAGGGGAATGGGGTTTTCGGGTGTCGTCATGGGGGTGAGTAGTGTGGCGGCTTGTTTGGCGCCGCATGCCAAAATGCTGGTTTATGGGATTGTGCCTGTGCCGCTTTGGGGTCTGGTGGCGGGTTACGCCGTGTATGATGGGTATTTTGTTAATAGTGCGAATACGACGATTGCGCATGGCGGGCATTTGGGGGGTTTGGCTTTTGGCCTTTTGTATTATTTTGCGAAGTTGAGGGGTGTGAGGTTTTGAAGGTAATAAAATAAAAGTATCAGCCATGTAAAATCTTCTGTATTTTTTTTCTCTTTCACACATTGCCGGTTTGAAAGGTAGCAATCGATCACACTATTGTCCAAAAACGAAGAAAAAACTGCAAACAACATAAATCTATTACCAGCCTCAAACGTGTTGTACTACACACGGCCAAATGCTAACATTTCCTCAATCCCATTTTGCATGCAATCCCCCTCAACAAAGAGAAAACCAGGGGACGCCACTTTATTAGACTACTCAGCAATACCAATCATAACCATCTCTCGAAAAAAAAACACAATATTCTATCCCCCTCAAGGTGTGACAAAGGAAAATAAAAGTGAGTGTCTGAAGTCGACAACTGTGAAAACATATTCTGGGTTTGTCGTCTTAGCAATGTGATATGGACACGTGCTGAGAGCGGTTGACCACTTACAAGAAGGCCGTTGAGAAACGCCTCAATCAGCTTTTTCGAAAGGGACTAGCCATCTCCTGCTCATCATCCATCTTGGGAGTTGGCTCGTCTTTTGCGTGGTCGTTAGGTAGAAGTGTGGGATTTGGTAGACCTTCGGGTGTCCACGATCGGTCTTGCGGACTGGCTGGAGCCATTGGGACTTCTTCTTTCTGCTCCTCTTCCTCCTCCTTCTGCATCTCTTCATCTTTCTTCTCTTCTGCCACCTTTTCGTCGGTTTCCTTCTTCTCGTCCTCCTCAACCCTCGTCTCCATTTCCACTGTCATTACTTCTTTCTCCTGCTCTTCGTTTTCTATCTTCTGCTCCTTTTCTTGCCCAACCTTCGCCTCCTCTTCGACAACGGTCTTGTTCTCCACTGGTCCCTCCTCTTTCTCTGCGATGTCCTTTTCTTCTCCATTCTCCTCCTCGGCTTTCCTTCGTTCCTCAATATTGTGTTCTTGCTCGGCCGTATTCTCAGATTGTGCCGGAGTCTCTTCTACGATAGTCCTCTCCTCCTTGTCCTCCCCTCCACCATCCGAACTATCCTGTATAATTTCCTCAGACAACGCGCTCTTGCGTGGAAGAGGTTTCTTCCGCTTTATGTTCTCTTTGTCCTCGTCAGTATCTTCACCAACAAGTTCCTCAGAACGTCCGCTCTTCCTTGGCCGACCTCGCTTCTTTGGCACCTGGCCCTTTGCCTTCAACTTCGCTGCTTTTGCTGCCTTCTTCTTCGCAGCAAGCGAATAGTCCTCGTCTTCATCCGAACCTTCTTTCTTCCAAGCGCGTCCCTTGCCCTTGAAGTGTTTCGGTTTGGTGGGTTCCGACTCGGCTTCTTCTTGTAGCAGCGCTATAGCTTCTTCGTCCAGCGAGGCTAGTAGTGCGTCGTCAACATTCCTGCTAAGCGAAGCGATGGATACTCTTCTGCTCTGAACGACAGGAGACGACATAGTCTCTTGGTCATGGACATCAACGTTACCTGGCTCCACATCCTCAAACAATTGTGAATCATGGTAGTAAGGTCTCTGTTGAGCAGGCTTGCGAGTGCGTAGGCCGCGTCGGGTTGAGCCCGGTGCGCTTGTCGAAGCAGGCGAAGCAGTAGCCGAATCTGGATCGCCATTTGATTTGGGCGTGGCGTCTGTATGAATAGAAATTCTCGGCTGGGTACCCTTGCCAAACGTGCTGGGTGTCGCTTGTAAGGAAGCATTGGCCTCACCAACGTCCTCTGTCACAATTTCCTCAGACTTTGACTTGTTAGTAACGAATCTGCAGTGCTGAAATAAAACGTACAAGTTCCTGCTTCTTCGGTGTCTTCCTGGTGCTGAGCTTGAGAATATGGCTCTTCTTAGGCGGATTTGCAACAGGTGCTGTGACTGGAGATTTCGGAGCTGTAAACTAATTAACCATTTTTCCAGAGCATGAGAATCAAGATAAACGGAATTTGAAAGTCCGCAGCCATAGAGAAACGATGGTTGAGGGTCCGAGGTGAATAGGCGGCAGCGCATTACAATGTGGGGTACGAAGTTTCACACATGGTTTTGTGCAACACATACCAGAACGGACAGGCAACGGAGACGCGATCGTGGACTTGGTAACCTCATCGATTGTGATGTCCATAGGATCGTCGAGCTCATCCTCAGGCGAGATGGTTTCTTCCGACTGCACGCGCGTTAGTGAGTGAAAGTAAGGATCACATTCACACTCACAATAGGCTTCTTCCTCGCCTTACGAGTAGAAGTCTTGCGTTTGCCATTCATGGTAATGGTAATGGTAGGAGCCGCGGGTGTTGCAGTCTCAGCTCCCAGTGTTGAGGTTTCAGGGTCTTTAGCAGCGTCATCACTATCACTCGCTGATGCGATAATCTCCTCCGACTGACAAAATTAGCAATTTTTAGCATTGTGCGTGGATAATACGTACAAGTGGCTTCTTTCGCGCCTTTCGCTTCTTCTTGGCGGAGGGACTTGAGTCTTCAAGATTGCCGACCTTGGACGGCGTTGCGGTTCCAGCCGAACGCGGTTGTCCATTGCCATTCATGGCTGCTGATTTCCTAGGACGGCCAACCTGACCACGTGGTTTGGTGGGTTGAGGTTTAGCTTTGACTGGCTGACCATTTTCGTCCTGGTGTTGTTAGCAAACATCAAAAAATGGACTCGATGATGAAATTTGACGCACACTCGAATCCGACTCTTCAAAAATGCGCAAAGTCGTATAGTACAGCGAGAGTCCGCTGGCATGTTGATTCGACTGCCTCCAGTCATCGTAGGGAAGGCGAGTGTCGGGATTTGCTTCTTTCCAGGCCTCGTACTCCTCAAAGCCATGCTTGTCCATCCACGATGAGGACTGGGCATCGCGAGACTTACGAGTACCCTTCTTGCCAGAAGCTAAATGACCGTTGGGCGCCATGATGATGTGGAGAAAAAAGTCGGAGAGATAGTAGAGGTTGGGCGACAAATAGAAAACTGCAAGGACAGACTAAGGAAAGTGGGTGTGAATGAGCGGCGCTGAGCAAAAAATGCGCAGTAAGAAATCCGGGCGACTGAAAGTATGAAATGAGCGCGCGCGGGTTTGCGCGCGCAATTGATGAATGTGGAGTGGAAAGTCGGTGTCGTGAAGAAAGAAAGTCCAGGTCCCAAGTCCCATCCGAGATGATCCACGCCTCGTGGCACGTTAGCTCAAAACCAACAACTTGTCGCCGAGGGGGCGCGAGAAAACAAGCAGCAGAACTTAGCTGCTCAGAAGAAAAGCAAATGACGTCAATGGAAATTTAGGTTGAGCTGATTCGCAGCAGGCATGACGAGCTGGACGAGGGAGTGGAATTGTAACGGAGAGAAGGGTCCGCGTACAAGGGAAAAGGCAATGCGCTAATAACAACCTCCAATTTCAGCTCGGCCACCTATCGAATCGAGGCATATCATCGCCTCCGGATCCACTCCTTGTGGTGAGACACTGCAAACGCCAGGCACCCTGTTTGTATCTATCGATAATGTGGCTTTTTGGGACTAACCCCTAAAGTCACATTTCAGCTGCATCATGGTAAGGATAATTCTGACTTGTTGATAAGGAAGCATGCATCCTCCTCCGTATCCTAGAATTGCATCTTACAACATCTCGCGTGTTTTCTACCTGCTATCTCACATGTATAAAATCCCAACTTTTTTTTTCTTCCAATTCGTGGTGATTGTTGTGTTCACGACAACTATCATTCTTTGGTGTTGCTTTCGCACAAATATTGCACTTCATTTACATGCTACTCAAACTCTATTAGATTGATTCAGCTACGGCAACGCGCAGCTGAATGTAATTGGACTTGGTATTAGAATTTTCATGATTTCTTGCTTGTCAGCTCTCCATGATACTCTGCTGTCTTGGTTTGTTCTCTTTGGCCCAGCAGGCATCCTAGCAGCTCTGCAAGTCGCCACTTCTCCTAATATTGCCTTGGCCGCTGAGGTGATCGACAGATGATACACGTGAACACTGAACAAACGCACAAGGGTACAGTCCACGTAAACACCACTCAACTTCCAACATATCCGTAGATCGTCAGCACCTAAACATCGAACCCTACAAACACACACGTAAGTACAGTCACCCCGCATGCCCGAAGTCTCCGCATCCATGGCTAGACAGGCCTTGAAATGACACATATAAAGAAGGTCACTCATCACAGCATTCACTCTCAAGGACCTGAAAGATATGTTCAATCCAATGTTCTCATAACGCACCCCGACGTAATCAAAGATAACCTATACGTGAAAACCAACCAAACACACTCACAAAAAAGGGGGGCACCACAGCGCGAAATGCAAACATGGGTATACAGGGTCCACAAAGTCTCCCCAAAGTTTCTCTCTCTCCCTCTCAGTCTAGTAAGACAAAAAAAGCGCTCAGCTGGACCAGCAACAAAGCCAGATCCCTCGTCAGCTTTGCGAAAATATGGAAGTAAAAAAAAAGAGACACAGACACACGGACAGGGGAAAGCAGAAAAAACGCCCAGAATAGGATGATGGTACCGCGAGATTGAAAAAGAAGAAGAACAATGACATAAACCCGTAATGAGTCCCCAAATTTCGTCGTCATCGGAAGGAAGCAGCAAGAACAAGAAACTTTCTCGGTTGATTAAAGTAAAATGATTGCGAAAGAAAACGCATGAACTCTTTGTCCCTCAGAGTCATCGCAGCATTTTTAGAAAGAAAAATACCATGTGAGAGAGACTTGGCCAGATGAGACTGGGATTTCTTATCGAACCGACGAAGTTTGCTAGAGACTGATTGCTCCTAGAATGACTCCGGTGGACTCGGCATCCCGTGTGCGCTGCCATCTTCCTTTTCCGGCTCTTGCAGATTGTGGTTGTCTCTCTGCACTGGTTCAAGTTTTAGTTTACCAATAGGCTTCCCAATGCCTTTCATGTAACCACTCTGGTCATTACCATTCTCATCCTTTTCTTCATCGAGCTTGCGCTTCTTACGCGCCATCTGCTGCTGCTCTCTAAGCGGACGCTTGCGAGGACTCGAAATCTTGCCAGTAGGTGGCAAACGAGGCTTGGGAAAGCGTTGCTTGGGCGGAAGATCATCATCTTCAACAAGCGGCTGGCTGTTGTTGTCGTGAAGCTTGCTGTATAGCCAGCTCTGGAGAAGGCCGATCTGGTGCTCCGCTGTCTGAAGGGTAATGGGTTCGAATTTGGGTGGCTCAGGCATGATAACACCAGTGGTGGCAACGTTGCTGTTATGGTTAGCAGAATCATAACACAAATACACTGTGGTACATACCTGTTGTCTTGTCTAGCGTAGGCATTGTGTACCCTGTTCTGGAGCAGGTGCAATGGTACACTGGCAGTGAGTCCAAATTCGACATCGAGGCCGAGTTCCTTGAATCCAAAGAAGTCCTCGCCAATGTCTTCGGCAAAGTCACCTCCCACAAACTGTTCACTGCCATCATTGAAAGCACCAGCACCGTCAGCGCCAGCATTTTCGATTGCTGGTCGCAAAAGCTCGGCATAGTATGACCGCATTCTGTCGTGCATGCCGGCCAGCTTCGTTCCAAGTCTTTCGACATCGTCCTTGACGTAAGCCTCCAAAGACTCCAGGTCGACACCGTTGGCATGCAAAGAATGGAGTACTGCTTCTTCTTGTGTAAAGCGCGGAGTCCAGTTGGTAGTCTGGCCGTTTGGAAGAGTGATTGGAACATCAGACTTCATCTTTGGTGTTTCACGGTAGACCCCAAGACCGGCAACAACATTGTGGAAAAACTTTGCCGCAATGTCCGTTACTGCATCTAGAGCCGAGGGCTGGAACTCTTCGAAACCAGCATGATAAAAGATCTTGCCGACACTTCGTTGAAGAGCAGCGCGACAGATATAAGGAGCCATGATCGGACCATCTTCTGAGGTAACCATTGGCTCGATGTCTGCTTCCATGAATGGTTGCGGCTCATATCTTTGAAATTGGTTCTGATACAGCTATGGACAGTCAGCGATCAACATCCTCTTATTCATTGACGGAAATCTTACCTGTGATTGAAGTTGCATTTGTTTGACAATGCCAATCTTTGCACAAATCTTCCTTGTCTCTTGCAGTGTATGATTGTTACTGTCAAATTTGTGCACAAGTGCACTGTCTGGTGAGACGAATTGTCCTTTTGGGAAGACGCGCATGTACTCTTCGACTTGCGGAATCACTTGACCCTCGGCGTCTTCAACCCACTGTAAACGCTCGGAAAGGTCAGGCATAGCGCATACGGGGTCGTAATAGTCTGGGATCTGACGCTCTTCTTCACCCTCAATGCCTTCGGCGAGTGACTCTCCAGCAATTGTCTGAACGCCATCTTTGCCGTCAAGTGCGGTGGCTGCTCCGTTTGCAGACTCCTCTTCGATGGCTTGCTTTTTGTGCCGTAACCATCTCCGCATACCGGCTTTTGTGCGTAGGATAGCTGGCTCATCGGGCTGGAGGTGGTCCTCGCGGAAGAGTCGATGTCGTTCTGATGCTATGATGGCTCGGTCTTTCTTCGTTACTTGTTTCCATGTTTTGTACTCCAAGTCATCCAAGTCGGCATCCTCGTCCAGAGCATCACTGACTGAGACACCAGTGCCATCAGCCTCCGAGATGTCTGCTTGACTGCCATTGATGCCATTTTTTGAGATACTGTTTGGCCCCAATGGGGTTGCTGAGCCGGGTGGGGGTGTTGAGAAACCATTCACGCTGCCTTCCATTTCCGAGTCTGCCCGTAAGAACTCATTCTTCAGGTTAGAGACTGCGTTATTGAAGGATGGAACTGCTGGTTTTGTTTCGGGTCCTGGTGTGTCCTCCAGGCCTGCTGGATGGGCTTTCCTTGTTGTGCTTGAGCCTTTACCTCCTTTACTTGGGGCTTTTCTGCCCCGCGAAGCCATAATAGGCTCTTCGTCTTCACTGTCATCTGCGCCATCTGCATCAGCGTCGCCATTGCGCATTCTCCTCTCTTCCGCCTCGACCTCTGCACGATCGCGGACGGTGATGTCTGGAATAAGTGGCACGAGCTTCTCAGTCTCTTTCTTCATGTGTAGAGCCTTCTTGCGCAGAAAATGGCTTGGGTCAGCATTGTACTTTAGGCAATTTGACCAGATGAGCATGAGATCATCAACAAATTCCTTCTTGGACTTGTATTGCAGTTGTTTGAGCTTTTTCATCATGGTGCCGATATCCATCGGATGTTTGATGACGTTGTAGTAGTCGGGGGCTTCCCGCTTGTTGACACGCTGGAGGAACGGGTGGGCATGCTCATTGGCTTTGAGCTCCATGAGAACCTTCTCTGTGCTCTCGTATAGCTCCTCCTGGCCAACACGGTCCTCGTTGGCCCATTTGCTCCTATTCTTACGGACTTCGCTGATGAGACTGCGCAGCTGCGCGTCCGTCGCATGGACGCGGTCTCTTTGGGCATCAATACGCGAGATGAGGTGCTTGAGGGTCAGGCTGGACGCGCCAAGGTTGGTGGTGCTCAAGGTCCCCTGTTGGGGGGCAGCAGCGGCAGCAGCAGCTGGGGCATTAGCAGACGCGCCAGAAGTCTCTGCTTCTACCTGTCGGTCGAGTTCGTCAAGCTTTTGTTGCTCCAGCATCGCGTCCCTGTCGCTCTCGAGGGTGTAGAAAAGGGTGTGGAAGCTGCGCTTGGCGGCATCCTCGGCGGCCTTCTTGTCTTGTTGTAGTTTCTTTCGCACATCGTCTGATGACTTTGTATGGTCTGAAGAGGGTGTGCCTGTCCGGTCGTGGCCGGATTTGTTCGATGTGGATGGGACGCGGAGGAGGCTTGGCGTGCTGGGAGTGGTGGCAGCAGCAGCAGCAGCAGCGGCACCATTGGTCGCGCTTTTGGATTGCAGCGGTGAGGTCTGACTATCGTCTTCGTCATCCTCATCGTCGTCGTCGCCGTAGTCGTCTTCGTCAATTGCGCGGGTTGGCTTTCTGGGTGTGATAGCCGGTCGCGCGTCATGCGCCGCCGGGACATCATCGGATGACGGCCCCGGCGCATTATCTAGAGCATCAACAGCATCGCCCTCGAATGTTCCTCCGAGTACTGCTGCCAGACGCGCTTCGGTGCGCCGATAGTGGTCTCGCCAGCGCGTGGCTCGGGGGTCCTCCTCAGTCGTGATGTCTCCCCCGTCCCCTAGGTGGTTCGCGTTGGAGGCGTTTGACATGGCCTCATCGTTCAGCGGCGCATTGGGGGTTCGCAAGTGGGTCGCGTTGGGAGGCTGATGCGGGAAGCGGGCATGGCTTGGGCGGTCTCGCGAGGATGGCGGACATGATGATGATGATGCAGCGAGGGACATAGTCGTCGTCGTCGGTTGTGGGGGGGTCTTGGCAGTTCGCGGCCTCACGGGGATGGCCCGCCTTCAGGGCGACGTCCAACCTGGTGCAGGTGTCGCGACGCGATAAAATCAAGCATGGAAGGAAGGTCTACGTCGAGCGAGTGGATTTCTGATGGTTGCGAGATGAAAGACGTGGTGTGGGCGCGCCTATTGATGGCCGAAGATGCGGCTCGTGAGTTTGGCGTCGTTGTCTTAAGCAGGTGGTCCAACTGTCCAGTCTGGCTAGGTAGGCACGCCTTAGCTCCGTTAGCGATGCTCCCGCCGCGAGCCCCATGCTTCACCCACGCCCCAATATCAAACGGCCTCTGCCACCACACTTCCCCCACAACCACAGTTGCGGGCGCGCAAATGCTTTTGAGGACACATGCAAAGCCTTTGCTGGGCTGCTGCGTATTTTAATGCAATCGCCAAAAAGCGATTGAGCGTGCTGGCCGGCACTAGC